ATCAAGACTCAATTTTTATCCTTATAATATGATTTATTTTTGGCATATTGTGTTTAATAATTGAATACCTTTTTGCCTTCTGGTTCATATTTATGCTTTGATGAGGCTATTTCACATTTCACACTACTACATTTTTTTTTTTCATTTTCTCTATATAAAGACTCAATTTGTATCCTTATAAACTGAAGTCTTTTTACATATTTTGATTAATAATCCAATACCTTCTGGCTTCTGTTTCATATTTATGCTTTTATGAGGAGATTTCGACGATGTACGAGGATTTCTATCCTCTCTTTGCTTTCTATTTCAGTGTTGACTCCTATTTTTCTGCTTTCTTTTAGGCTCAAAAACCTCAACTCTGATGGTAAATTGTTGACTTGTTACTGTTACTTTTAGATTTTTTTGAGGTTTCAGTTTAGTCTGAGTTGTGTTTATTTTCAATTTTTGTGCAGTATCGAGAGATTTTGTTGAAGACTTATCAATTCTTGTAAGTTTTAGTTTTCTTTAGTTCCATATGTTTTATGTTGTTGCTACTTGTGATTTGTTGACTTATGTTCTTGTTCATTCTTTTGTAATTAAACAAGATTAGCTTTAGCAACTTATAAAGAAAGAAAAAAAGCATAAGCTTTTGTATAGTTAAGTTCAGTTATGAATCTTTGGCACCATATAATGGAAAGGAAAGAAAAAAGCACAAGCCTTTGTATAGTTAAGTTCAGTTATGCTTCTTTGGCACCATATAATGGCAAAATAAAAAAACTTTTGTATAGTTAAGTTCAGTTATGCATCTTTGGCACCGTCTAATGGAAATATAAAGCTGAAATAGATAATATTTTCTCTTCCTTCATTGCCCTTCTCCTGTGGAAAGGCAAACAGGATCGAATCGAAGGAGCGATCTCTATTTCTTCAACTATTTTTTTGCCCAAACATGAATTTGTTTGTTTTTCTTTTTGCATAATTGTCTTATTAATGCTATCATAGTAAATAGAGAAACAAATGTCTGACTGTGATTTGTTTTTTTGGGTTTGAATTCTCTCCTCTTCAGAAGCATAGGATAGAGGCTCAAGCAAATAGTGCAGTTAAACTGGTAATAAATTTTTTAGATAAAGCCTACGTACTCTGTGTGAAAGTCTAACGGTGATCACTACTTATGTTTGCAAATCTTTGTATGTTGTTTCTTTAGGAAGAAGTTGAAGGCCTAAAAGAACCAACATTGGTTGTGTACAGAGATGGAGAGCATAGCTCTACAGTCAGTTCAGGTGAGAACGATAGGTTTGACAAAGCAGAGAATTTTAACTTTAAATGCCTTCATCCCTTTTTCCCTTCAATTCTGTGCAGCATTTAACTATACTCTCAATTACAGGAACCACATATGGTGGCGAAGAAAAAAATCAACAAAATCTATCTGAGAAAAAAGTGTCCTCATCAAGAGAAAAGGTATTTTTCTGTTTAGCAATCTTTTGCGTGTTATAGCTGAAGATAGAGGAGGCTATAATTTCCTATCTTGTGAGAAATTATAACTTTCATCACTTAGTACTTAACAATAACGCCCTTCATGTTGGTTGTCGCCAGAATTGCGAGTATTGGACTTATTGTAACTTCTAATTTGGCTGCATAGAGTGGAAAATGTTCACATTTAGTCATGTAATGTTGGAAAATTTAGGAGTTAGTTATACATAAAAATGTTCGCCGTTGTATCCATTTTGAATTGTCAAGCTGTTACTTTAATTGTGATGATCACGTTGATGTGTAGAGAGAAAAAGAAGTGTCCGCATAAATTTGCTTTTGCTATATCTAGAGTCCGGTTTTCTAACTTCAGCTAAGTAGAAACATTTGATATTTGAACGTGCAGGATGTAAGGAAATAGAGAACATGTTAATTTAGGGGCTTCAATGAAAGTTCACGAGAAGAATATCAAGGATGCCATGTCCACTTACTTTCACTTTTTTAAAATTCATTGTGGTTGTCTGTAGCAATTTTTAAAACATTAAAATGTTAGATTTGGTAGTCCGGACCTTCCTTTCCTCTCTTTTCTGATAGATATCTCCATCTGTGTGCACTTCACTTTGTCGTGTGCAACTATAATGTTCTTTTTTTTCCCCATAGAAACTACAGGCTTTTTGTAAGTTTGCGGTCTGCTGATTTCTGTTAGGATTATGACAGGAGAAGTCCAGACCGAAAGGGGTTCAACACAGTCAGGGTGTACAGTCCCATTCGCAGAGGCCATTAGATGAGAAGGTAAAAGAGATGAAAGATCAGGTGATTAGGGCCAAAGTATACTTGAGTTTTGCGCCACCAGGTAGCAACTCTCATTTTGTGAAAGAGATAAAGCTACGAATTAAAGAGCTAGAACGAGCTATGGGTGATGTTACTAAAGATTCTCGTTTGTCAAGGAGGTGAGGTCATTTTTCTTGCTTGGGCCATTCAATATGAGACAAATGATAAATTTATTAAGAGTAGAAGTGGGATATAAGTCAGTCAAGCTATTATCTCTGAATAGACAAGAATATTTTCTTGATATTGACTCAAGGGTATTTGAAACAAATTGGTTGGCCTTACTGACAATTTAATACTCCCTTCGTTCCAATTTATGTGACACTCTTTCCTTTTCTATCAGTCTCAAAAAGAATGTCACTTTCATTATTTAGAAAGAATTTATCTTTGGGATTCCTACTTTACCCTTAATGAATTGATTTACAACCTCACAAATATCTATGGTCTGGTTAAACCACAAGTTTCAAAAATCTTCTTTTTTTTCTTAAACTCCGTGCCGAATCAAATACCGCCACATAAATTGGGACAGATGGAGTAGTTAATATGTTGCATGTGTAATATAAGAGAAGCTAGCTTTCCAGGGCAACACAGAAGATGAAAGCCATGGACTCGACGCTGCTGAAAGCGAGCAGAATGTACCCTGATTGCTCAGCTATGGTGAAGACACTTCGTGCCATGATGTATAATACTGAAGAACAGCTTCGATCACAAAGGCATCAAACTTCCTTCCTTGTACAGCTTGCTGCAAGAACTGCTCCGAAAGGCCTTCATTGCCTTTCCATGCGTTTGACCACAGAATATTTCGCCCTGCAGCCTGAGGAGCGGGAGCTTCCTAACCAACATAAATTGCAGAATCCAGATTTCTATCACTTTGCTGTCTTCTCAGACAATGTTTTGGCATGTTCTGTGGTTGTCAATTCAGCTGTTTCAACCGCTAGGGTATGCTGCTCCATTTTTTACTTTATTTTGTCCTTATTTTGGTGTTCACCTTTCTTTTAAAATTCCTTTTTCCTCGATATGCTTTTCGTCTTCCCTTTTTTCAAAATTTTCCATGTTTCCATTTAATGCTACGTTCATACACCAATGGTTTCAAGAAGCCAGTAATTTTAGTGATCTGAAGACGATAATTGTCAAATAGCTTCATAACTGAGAGATCTGTACTGATTATTGTCTTATTGTAACTTGATCTGCAGTGGTATGTTGATGACTAAGCATACTGTGTATTTCTTTTTATAATGTAGCCAACATTAGAGAATACTGAGTATTTGGTCCTATAATGTAGCCAACATTAATTATAGGACAATATGGTTGGTCTTCAGAGGAAAAACCTCAATCTTCTTGGTTAGTTTACGGTATTTGCCATCATTTTTTGGTGGAACTGTAGGAAAGAATCTTCAAATCGAGTTTGGAAGTGACAAATTCTAGGTCATGCACATAAATACTACTAAGTTATAAGGATATAAATGAGTATTACTTGGGCGTCTTCACTTCTGCAAAAAACATTTTCCAGATTAGTTGCTTCCTTCTGCTCATTTTATGGTTGCAGTAATACCATCATTTCATCAGCTAATATGCAATAAGGATAGGACAAGTGAAGAAAATTTGAAGGTAAATGTTTATGTACTTGCAGGATCCAGAGAGAATCGTCTTTCATATAGTGACTGATTCTGTTAACCTGCCAGCCATGACAATGTGGTTCTTGATGAATCCTCCAGGCAAAGCTACAATTCAAATTCAGAGCATAGACGGTTTTGAATGGTTACCAACCAAATATAACGAGAATCTGCAGAAGCAAAAGGGCCTTGATCCAAGATACACTTCTGCATTGAACCACTTGCGCTTTTATCTGCCTGATATTTTTCCTTCCCTGGACAAGATTGTGTTCCTCGATCATGACGTGGTTGTGCAAAAGGATTTAACCAGACTTTGGGACATCAACACTAAGGGTAAAGTGAACGGTGCAGTGGAGACTTGTCGTGAAGGTGAGCCTTCATTCCGCCGAATGGATATGTTCATCAATTTCACAGACCCCTTGGTGGAAAAGAGTTTTGATGCAAACACATGCACATGGGCATTCGGGATGAATATATTTGATCTACAAAAGTGGAGGAAGCGAAACCTAACTGCGCTCTATCACAATTACTTGGAGCTGGTAATAGATCTATATCCTACTGTTTACAAATTGCTGTTTTATTATATACTCTTGTCCTTTTATCGTCGTTGCTAAAAACATTTAGTTTATGTCATTATGTTGATGCAGGGAAGTCAGAGACAATTACTAAAAGCTGGTAGTTTGCCAATTGGTTGGACGACATTTTACAAACACACACATGCTCTAGATAAGCGATGGCATCTCCTCGGATTGGGGCATAACTCTGGCGTCGCACAAACTGAAATTGAGCAGGCAGCAGTGATTCATTATGATGGAGTTATGAAACCATGGTTAGACATTGGGATTCAAAAGTACAAGCCATATTGGACAAAGCATGTTAGCTATGAACATCCATACTTGCAACAGTGCAATTTACATGAGTAGCAATTTGATCCCAGGGGTTTAGCTTGAGTTTTTCCACTTAACTATGATTATTCTTTTCTTCACATTGTAGAAACCGCTTACGTCCACCTTGGCGCAATGGTAACAAGTTTCCGACATATGACCAGAAAGTCATAGGTTCAAGCTGTGAAAATGGTCTCTTGCGGAAATGCAAGGTACTACCCTATGTAGGGCAAGGGGACAAACTCCTTGAGAATATCAACACCTGAGGTTCACAATAGTGTGTTGTTCTTGGCAAGGATATGGTAGCATCCTTTTCAAAGTGGACTTGGCAACGTCCGCATTGAAAAGATCCCAGGCTCTTCTATTCATGTCCCTGAGAATCTGTAGAACATACATTATCCAAGAATCCAAAAAAATTAGGAAATTTTACAAGTGCTGAACTAATTAAATTATGTTCATTGAGCTAGGTACCTTGTAACTCTGATCAATATTCCCAGCATACAAGTTCGACCCATAAGCTTGCAACATTTGGTTCATCAAAGACGTGTTTCTCTGCAACATACAATCACTAGATGAAAAGATTGGAATATCCTCAAGGAAATGAATGATAACAAGAATTATTGAAATAATGGTACGTCATAATACGATATAATTGTTAATTGTATTTTTAAGTTATATTTAACCGGACGATTTAAGTGCTATCAAGTATAAAAAATGATGGCGTTTCTTCAACTTTTCCTAGATAAACATCCCACTATAACAACAAGAATCTAGTTGCATTAACATTAGTGTCACACTATCTAGAACATTGACAACAATTTCTGGTACAAGAATTAGAAATCCAGAAAACAGTATCAATTGGTGGTTAAAAATTGTTAGTCCTAACATTGGTTGAGAGCATGAGCTGTTTACTTCTTATATGGTCTTGAACAATCCTCATCTTTATGAGCTACCTTTTGCTATTGAGTTACGCCTAGGTTCAAAAGAAGAATACCGATGGAAGAGGGTATTGAAGCAAATTACCTAGTTCAGCATGCTAAGTCCCTGGTAAGTTCTTCGTAATGCTGGTAAATCCTCATTTACTTGAGTCTAGATGTCCCAATTTGTGCTAGTCTCTAAAATCCTTTTATCTATGCTGATATTGGATCCTTGAACCTAACATCAAATGGAGATCACACTTTTCTCCGTGGCAATCTTTTGTTGTTTGTCCTATGAATCAAGAAAAGATGTCCCCCAATGTTGGCAATTTTGGCACACCAACTCATAAGTTACTCGAACATGAGCCACGATGAGTGCTAGTTTGTCTATTGCTTTACCTTACACCTAATGAGTTTTACTCCGTACGACGGGGGAAGGTTATCATTATAGCTGTAGCTTGATCTTTTTGAGTTCTACAGCTTTGTATCAGTCAGTAGAGGTCTTTCAACTTGTGATGCTTTATAAAATAATCACAAATACTCTAAGGAATCCTCAGGCTCGTTTCAATTATATATGCACCTCATTCTGCATGTGGTTTTGACAATAAATGTACAATAGCATCTTCAAGTGTTCTATCTGGTTAATTGTTTTGGTAAAGTTCTTTCTTCTTGGTTGTATGTTTCACCTTTCAGCTTCATGTTTAAAGTTTTATATTCAATAGAAAAGGTTCTAAAAAATGACTCTTCTAGTTTATCAGACTACCAAATTATGTTTTTCTTAAATGTTATGCAACTTGAGAGGGAATTGCTAAATTCAAGGGTACAACAACATACCCAATATTATCCCACACTGTGGGGTCTGGGGAGGTTAGTGTGTACAGAGACTTTATCCCTACCTTGTGAGGATAGAAATGTCGTTTCCAATAGACCCTCGGCTAATGTGCTAAATTCAAGGGCATTTACATAATTTAAAATTTTGCAAGGGCAATTCAAGAAACTTGAAGTTATTTATTATTATACACACAACACACATGCACACCCACTTTCACACATAAATGAAAAGTTGGGAAAATTAATCTAACACCACAAGTCACAGAATTTAAGTGTTTTCATTTGAATAGCTTAATAAATGACTATATCAGTCTATGCTTGCCTATTGTTTGATATTGACCAATAGTCGTATATTACCTCCTCCTCCTCCAATGATGGTCTCCGGTCCAATACATGCTGAACAAGATTCTGTGAAGGACCAACTTCTTTTAGTTGTTCTATCTCATGCACTACTGCATCTACAGCCTGATCAAGATATACAATCATTCATTAAATACTTTTGAATAATGCTCAAGATGATGTACTAGAACGAAAAAATAAAAAGGATAAAAATAATCTCACCATCTGGGCTGCGTCATTGTCCTTGATTAGGAGATTAAAGTTAATTGTTCCAGGTTTACTCCCACTACAAGACCAGTCACCATTAGGATTGAATGTATCCACGTCAACATTGTACGCCTGAAAGATAAAATAGTTAGAATTTATTTCCAAGACAAACAAAAAAAAGATTTAACTCTAGGGAAATATATGACGTACAATCCCTTTTTCGTGACGAAGTACTTGGGTGACTTTGACTTTCAAGAGATTCCTCAAAATTATCAACAGAAGAAGATCTTCTTCCTGTTACAAATACACAATGTATATCTTGCTAGACTAAAATATCAATTTATTGAACAGCTTGTGACTTGTATTCACGTATTTAGCCATACCAATGTCTGATTGTTGAAACGGAGTGGGAAACTTATACAAGTATACATTCCATTACCACTGCCCACAGCAAGAGACACTTCTTCCCTGTCAAAATTGGACTTTGTTTAGATATTGTTTATTGTCAATTTGTGAGTAAAACCGAACAGTTCACACGTAGTAATACATTAAAACATCTTCCAATAGGGACCTTTACGAACTCACCCCATCACCCAAAAAGAATAAGATGAAACAACAAATGAGTTGACAGAAAAACAAATACAATAGTGCATACTTGATCACAGTTGGAGGAAAATGGAAAGGTGCTGTGGTGAGCTTCCCACGTTGAAATTTCATGATAGGTCGATGAGGCCTTGGTATTCCACCCTAAAGAAAGAATATTCTCAAAAAGCATAGTATGCAAACATGACATCTACAAGAATGAAATTCTGAAAGAAACGTATGCCTCAAACAAAGAGCTAGAAACCAACCAAGTAACGCGACAAAAGTGAATTGACAGAAGCAGTGTCCAAGTTCCCAACAAGAATCACTCGGAAGCTCGAGGGATCTCTAAAGCAATTTTGAAAGTATTGCCATGCCTTTGTTGCATCAATATTTGACATATCCTCAGCTACAGGTGCCTACATAAGAAAGATCCCTTAGTGGAAAGCACATAGATAAACTAGATTCAAACATAGCCACGTGGCATGGCCATAAATTCTAACTTAGGCATTTTCCTCCTCTTACAAAATGTCATGGTTTTGGTTCCTGAAAAGGTTTAACAGAATGTATATGTCAAGTATGTATACTTAACAGGTAGGTATATAGATGCCTAAGTAAAAGGCACACACCAAAAGGCATTCAGATCAAACACATATCCAGCACCAAGAGACAACCACTATAGCTATTCATCGGCTTCCTATTCAGCCATCAGAGTAAAATTCATACTCCTCTAGTTCCATATATACCATACTATAAATATTGCACAAATTTATTGCAACTAAACTTCAAATCTCATAAATTAAAGAAATATTGAACACGAACGTAAATGGTGTTTGATGCTCAGATACTAGACACGGTAATTTAAGATGTATGAAGATTTTCCTTCAAATAAGGTGCACATAATTGTGAAATGGCATATAAAGAGAAGTGTGGTATGAAATTGAGATAAGGATAGCAGAAAGCATGGTTCCTATATCTTAAGGTAACTTGGAAAGACATGTGATCTAATGTAGCCATTTTATCATCAAGTTAATAGGGAATCTGATGAGAGAAGCTTAAGATAGTTATAGAAAATAAACCAAAACTATCTATCATCAGAATTCCAGATTTATCAATTTAAGGAACTAAAGATATTATTAAGAAATATTGAAAAGAATTGAAAAAGCATTTGGTAATACAGACCTTGTAATAGCAAGATTTACCGCTGTTGATCTCCTTAACGGTATCTATTAGGACATCAGCCGGTTGTTGATGTGCAGGAGACAGGCGAATCTTTAGGTCCTCAATTAGAGCTTGGAATTCTTCTTCTTCAGGTTCTAAGTCACTTGTGAATAGTAAATATAGAATCTGTAGGCATCCAACACAACCATGACTAAACAATAGAACCAACTAAAGCATTGAATCAGAGTAAGCTTGTTAATCTTATTAAACCATGTGAAACTGGTAAATTTTATGAAGTAGAGATCCCATAAAAAAGTTTAGACCCCCTCCCTAAACATTAAACAAGTAAAACAACACATAAGTAAAGCACCTCCCGGAATAAAAATATGAAATGTAGATTTTGGGTAACACAAAGACAAAAGACCCCCAATTCTGGCACAAACTTCTGTGCACCTACCTTTTTGCAGAGAACAGACTGAGTGAACATAACAAGCATGAGTCTTGAAAAGTTGAATACAAATAACTGATCTACCAACAAACCTGAAGTGCAAGTTCGATATCTGATGAGTCAAAGTTCACACAGAAAGCTCTTTTATACTCGTCCACCTCAATAGCGAAATTGACTTTATCACGTATCATAGGAAGATTCTTGGAGCTATAAAGCCAGATAATTTGTCCAATTACACTTGAATACGAGCAACTGAGGATATCTGTTTCAGTCACTTCTGAGAGACCACCATATGAGAATCCTCTTAAAACGACCTGTACATGGAAAAATATGAAGCAAAAAAGAAAAAGTAAATTGAACAGGCAGGACTAGGAGGGGCCTGATTTTTCTAAACCAATCGATGCAACAATTCTCGCATCATGCTTAAGACAATGATAGATATTTCGACTATAACAAATAAATCCCATTGATATAGCAACATAAGATCAGCACTTTGAAAAATTCAAAAGCCAAAACATTTACACCAAATGGTGTTTCCTGTCTCAAAATCCTCATGCACATGTGCTTTTGAGACAAGACTTATCTGAAAAGACCAATCATCAAACTGTTACATGGATGAATATTTATTTATCCTCTCAGGGCACTATCTTTCTGGACTTTGACATGCAAACAAGTGAAAAAGAAGATGAGAGATCTCAAGGAAAAGAAACAGAGAAAAATCTAAGTAAGTATGAAATCTAACAATAAAATTATTATCACCCCTCTGAGAAAGTGGTTTTGTCATTTGCTCCTGCTGAATTTTTCTGGGTGTTTTCATTTCGACATGCATACAATGCTTTTATGTCTATAGGCATCTATGGAAGAATGGGAAATCACTTGTATGATTTTACTGTTAAGGTAAAAGGAGTTCCAATACTCTGGAGTCAGGACAATGCAGGATTTTCCAATAACTGATAAATGAATTAGGGAGATTGGAAAAGAGATTTTATCAGAAATTACATCCTCTTTTCTTTATCTCCCATAAGCATTAGAATAACAATTGCATTTTCTGTATCCCGCATCACCATAAGTACTAGAAAGATACAAGAAAAAAATAGATGCAAGCATAGATGTTGGAAAAGAAGTTCCACACTTTGCAGAAGAAAATGGTTGCAAAGCATATTCCCAAAGTAATGCTGCTCGATGTGTCTAGAGCAGGGGTCACTAATATCTACAAGTGATACTGCATTGGCCTTTATCATAGTTTCAAATAGTTGGTGTGGACGATATGTAAAATGCATAAGGAAATAGGGAAGAATCATGTAAGTATAAAATTTCTATACTCAACATTACTTTATTTTCACCCCTTTGAGAAGGGAGTTCGGTTTTTCCTCAATTTTGCAGGGTGTTTCACTTCTACATGTATTCGATGCTTTCATGTTTATAGGCATCTATGGAAGGATGAAACATCACTTGCATTATCAGTTTATTTTTAGGTAAAAGGAGTCTCAATATTCTGGAAGGATGCAGAGGACTTCCAATACTTGCAAAATGAATTAGGGAGATCGGAAAAAAGATTGTATTAGAACTTACATCCTCTTTTTCTATATCTCCCATCAGCACCAGAATAACATAATCTGGTTTTTCTTTATCCCACATCACCATAAGTACTAGAAAAGATACAAGACGAACATGGATACAAGCTGAAAGAAAGCTCCACACTTTACAGAAGAAAATGGTTGCATAGCATTTTCTACAAGTAATTTTGCTAAATGCATCTATAGAGCATGGCTAACTAATAGCTATAAGTGATTTTGCATTGGGATTTTTCATAATTTATAATCATGGTGTTGGTCATACTGTAAACTGAAAATACCGACAAATATGGAAACCAAATCATATCCCCCAAGGTTGATGTTTGCCTAACTTTAGATGGTATCCGAAGTCTAAAGTTACGGGAGCTAACTTTCTTTCCCTACTTATTTCTTTTTCTTCTTCCCATTCTGTTTGGGAAATCCAACACCTCCTTAAGGTTCCAAAATAAACTTCCAAACATTGTAGTGATCACTGGACAAAGAGTAGGGGTGTTCATGGTTTGGTTTGGATCCGATCTTCCCTAAAAAGAAATCAAACCAAGTAAGTCGGTTTTTCACATATTGGAACCAAACCAAACCAATTAAGTCAGTTTTTTGTCGATTCGGTTTATGTCCGTTTTTCGGTTTTTTCTGTTATTTATCGGTTTTTCCTTAAATATGAGACATATACTACCAAGCACATATTTCGCGGCTACATTTTCAACGTAACACTGTTAAACCAATTGCTCTTTGAGAAATCTATCATTTATCAAGATATATTTGTGATAATTGAATCAATAGTGATGAAAAATTTAAGGACTCAATTAAAAATAGATTATTTTTTACATGAAATAAATTCTTGTACTTAGCAGAAGAAAACTACCAATCAAACTAAAATGTAAAAGCAATGAACTAGATTATTATAATAGCAAATAACTGGAGTAAAAGTTCAAACGATTAACATATACCATAAAATTTTAGAAACTTTATATAAAAATATACACATATAGGTGTAATAGTAAATTTTGAATAACTATCTCTATAGTGAGTTTGATTCGGTTTTTTCCAATTATTTTTTTATACCAAAACTAAACCAAAATTGATCAATTTTTAAAATTCAAAAACCATAGTTAGTTTGGTTCGATTTTTCGGGTTTTTATGAACACCCTAACAGAGACCTTGTTGTTGTTCCTGAGCATCATTTTATTTTCTCTTTCCTTTCTTCATTCACAAAAAGCCTCTTCCTCCTTCTTCATTGCTGCTTGCTATACAAACATTGGTAACACTCCCTCTTCCCCACATGTCAAGGATCTAAGACAGAGGCGGCTCAATCAATACGGTAGCCTAAAGCAAAACCTTAATAAGAGGCCTAAGAGATATTCAATAAATTTTTTTATACATTTTTATCGGAACTGAGAGTTTGAGAAAAACGTGAGGAAGAAAAAAAAAGATTATGGTACTCAAATTATTCAATACCCTTGTTATTTGGCAGAATAGATAGATGAGCTAGTATGAGGAGAGAAAAAAGAGAATTTGATTTTATAAAGAACAAGAACTGATTTAGCTGAAGATTGAAGAAAGAAAAAAAAATACTTTTTGTTCACTTGTAGGCTCACTGCTTCCCAATTAAAACACGAGAGCCTAAAAACATGTGATTTATGTGAAGAAAAATAAATAAACTGGAATAGTTTTAATTATTAGATATACATGACTGAATTACTACATCTACAAATGATAAAAATTTAGTTATACAAAATTTATTTTTTGATATAGTAGTACTAATTTTGAGGCCTTAAAGTATTGGGGGCCTAAAGCAAGTGCTTGACTTGCTTTAGGCTTGAACCGGCACTGATCTAAGGCACTCCATCGGCATCCCACAGTTTTAAAAGGCAAAACCTCTTTGGTCACATATATGGATCAGATGTTGCTCTATGGTCTGAGCTTCTCTTCTCCTTCTGATGATTTTTCATCTACTATCAGACAAATATCCTTTAGGGTTAGCAATTGGTTCCAATCACATGTTACTTTTATTGATTTTCTAGCATCCTATCACTTACAACCAAGAGGTTGTGAGTTCGAGTCACCCCAAGAGCAAGGTGGGGAGTTCTTGGAGGGAGGGAGCCGAGGGTCTATCGGAAACAGCCTCTCTACCGCAGGGTAGGGGTAAAGTCTGCGTACAAACTACCCTCCCCATACCCCACTAGTGGTATTATACTGGGTTATTGTTGTTGCTGTTATTAGCTGCATATACTGTTTATTTTAGTATAGTGGCCAGAGTTGCGAGGGGAGCTATAGTGTAAGAGGCTGTAAAGACTGAAAGTAGTCAAAACTTAAAAAAGGGGTTATTCATGGATTAGTGATAATCCAGAAATTCAACTCTGCTCCAGAGGACTCTCCAATTGACAGGACCACAAAAGTTGAGCAAATATCCAGAAGCCCTAAAGAGGAAACCTTCTTTGTACAATCTCTAAAACTAGGGAGCAGAATTGCAATTAACCTGACTCATCAGTGCAAATAGGAGCCCTCAAATAAACGGATGTGGCTTTTCTAGTGGAATAAAGTTCCCAAAACCAGTTCAGATTTGGCACTGTCTGGACAGTTTCAGGATTGACAAACAGAGATCTCCAACATATACCTAATATACATGAACTAGTGCACATAATTATAGTGCAAAAACTATCATTTGAACTATTAGAGGCGCTGTGCATAATAAAAGTCCTCTAGATTACAATTTTGCAGTTGTAGATAAATTTCATTTTATTCTGCCAAAATTTCGTATCCAATTTCTCATGCTTCATTACGCTAAAATTTGGGAGATGGTCGTAGTTATCCCAACAGCAACTAGTTCAAAAATAAGCTCATGATATTCTGTATTCGAAAACATGCTTTTAAACATTCACAGAAGCAGCCATTTTGCTAGCAGACTGACCAACTAAATGTAATCAACAGGAAGAATGGGAAGGCTTTTTCACTCTTCTTTTTGGCATAGAGTGTACAGTACAAGAACTAATCAGAAACTTCAACCAGATATAACAAAACATTGATAATTTAGCAGAAAAACTTAATGTATATAACAAAAAAGCAGCATGTAGGCTCATTACCTTATCATCATTCTTTGTACACTGGTAAGTGACTTGCATGCCATTAGATAAGATAAGCTCCACAGCTCCAATATCAAAATGTTCCAGTCGCTCAACAATTTTCCTGAAAATTGTTTAGGTGTTCAGAAAAGGAGACGGAAAAAAAGAGAAAAATGACTGATAGCATAAGCAGTGGCGGAGCTAGAATTTTCATCAAGGGGTGTCAAAATATAAAAAAATATATATATCAAAAAATTTAGAGGAGTCAACGTATAGTAAATATACACAAAATAGAAAAATTTATTTAGCAATACAATGTAATTTTCCGGCGAAGGGTTGACACCCCTCAGTTGAATGTGGCTCGGCCACTGAGCATAAATATAAGAACACTCTTGTTTTTTGGATCGGGCCAGTCAAATGCAAGTGCAGAGAGGTTGTACCAACTAAAAGTATCTCAGAATTATATAATTAGGATTACGATTACCACTTACTTAAACCTTTACAGCTTTAGATGTGTCCTTATATTAGAAGATGGTTATACATATTGCTAACTGAGCACAAGATCAAACTAAATCATGAAAATGAGTTCGGTTCATTTGTAAAATAAGTGATAGGATCCGAGATTTCCCATGATTTGTAATTGAGCCAGTATGCAGCTCATCGATTGTTACGGTCTTAATCAACAAAAAAAGTTACTGATTACAAGTTTTACAGTTGAATGCTGCACTGATTAAAAGGTACTTGAAGACAACAAAGAGATATTTAGCAAAAGGAATATTCACCCAGATTCAATCTCCATCTCTTGTATCAGATTGGTTAAACCCTCCATTTCTTCATCTGACCAACTAGGAAAGGATCCCTCTTTTTCAAAATCAGTAATCTTCTGCAATGACCTCTTCATTTCCTCTTGTGTCACAAAAGTCTTACTTTGAAATATGATAACTGATAAGTTAGATGCTGCAAACTGCATCTCACAGAAGTTCTTGATCAGCTCCATATTGATTCCTGAAAATTGGAGACTAGTTACATATGCGGCTGTTAAACAAACCTGCCAAATACATGACGGAGCAAACTAACAAAACTTACTCTTTGTAAGAGCTATCATAAGTTGTGCCTCCAGCTTAGGAGAAAAGTCAGCTTCATTATAAACGAAGTGCTGCATGAGAAAAGAGAGAATGAGTTCTGGACTCTATTTTAAGGGGGGAAAAACAAGTACAAGCCACTCCAGACATACACTGGTGTAGGTCCTTCGTAGTTGCTCTGAAGAACGGTCATGATGATTCAGGTATCTGCCTTTAGGGATGCACAGGCAAAAGTCTTTTCCTTCACTTAATTCATTTTCTTTGATCCCATGGACTCTCATTCGCGCAATCTGAATAACATAACCAAAACAATTAGTGTGCAGTTATCTGCTTCATTACAGAATAACTATAATTTGATTTGTTAATCAAGAACACCCTGCTCGAAAATCTAGAAATATTGAAGCACACACTGGTGAATACCTCAACAAGGAACGTCTCCAACACCTTATTTGTTTCATATCCTTCACACTCTACACTAACCACATATATGGTATACATGTGTGAATCGTCCCTAGAGTACTGAAGTTGTTTTGGTTTGCTCATGCTCGAAAATCTTTTCTTCAACCTTCCAAGAATAACTTTCTGAAGAAGCATTCTTTGAATGTTTATGAACACATCATTCACACATTTCCATCCTTCTTTCTCAAACATAAAGGTGACGTATACCACAGACATTCTCCACTTCACAAACCAAAGAAGAAGAAAAAGATATTAAACATACATGAATTAGCTACAATTTTCCAGAAATTTAACAATAAGAAAATACCTTATGAAGGAGTTCGACATTATTAAAACTAAAGTCTACCATGAACATGCTGTCAAGAAACAAATCAGGCCTTAAGTATTACCTTCACAAGTGCACTATCGACATGTGCGATCAATCTAGGTTCAGTGTGCTTTGGAAGAGGGAATTCCAAATGCTGTGGCATACCTCTTGGTTGCCTTTCAAAGTATGTTTTGATCAAATCAATTATATTCTGAAATAAGAAATTCAAAAGAAAGCAAAAAGAAGTTGATTAATTTATGACTATTGAATCAATACGTATATCTGGTCAAAATTGAGAGAACGGTTATGACAAACCTGCGTTTCAGTTATATCTCCCACAACGATAACAGCCATATTGCTTGGGACATACCACTTCGTGTAAAACCCCTTTACAATATCAACAGAGACATCTTTTATTGATTTTATTGTGGCACCCACAGGCTCACCATACTAGAATACAATAAATACAACATCAGTTGACTAGTAGCTTATAGTACATTTAATGAACCAAAACAGAAGGGGAAAAAAGGCAAAAGTTAATAAAGATCAGAAAACACATATTACACGTCCTTAAAACTATATGAAGAAATCATAATAGGTAATGACATACATGTTGCACATTACCCCCTTCATGTACTTTAAGAAGGTGAAAGGTAATCATAAACTTTCTTTCAAGTTCTAAACTCTAAGTCAACGTTGTTACCTTAATTACCAGTGTAAAGAGTACATTTAGGGGCCATTTGGTTGGAAAGAAGTTATCCCGGGATTAGTTATTCCACCTTTCTATAAGGATAAAAAATACTACAAACCCCGGATAATTAATCCCGGAATTAATTATACTGTAATTTTCTCTCAACAAACATGAGATAAACTCTTCTTAAATTTAGTCCTGTGATTAATTATTCCTTGATCTCTCGTACCAAACTAGCCCGTAGGGATTGTACGTGTAAAAAGCAAAAGGAGAATCCCATTACCTTTGTTCCTTGGAATAGGTGGGTACTAAAAGTAAGTTGATGCTTTTTCTCAATAATCTGAGAATCATTCCAAAGCTCCTGTGATACGATTCTTTTCTCCTTCTCTAGTTCATCTGAAGTGAAATCAAGCTGCAAAATGCTTTTATTTTAGGAGAATAACCAAAAGCATAAAGCAAAATGACAACGACGACAAGAAGTAAAAACCTCTTGAGAGATAGCAGCCATTAATGCTATTGCTTTCTTCAAATTTACAGTGTTTGTCACAACGAAGTTATAAATCGTGTAATCACTTAATGTGAGGGCCTGCTGATGAGCACCACACTGATGTTTGAAAGCTTGTAGATAATCAAGTGCGTCTGGATCGGAATATCCATACCCCTCCAAAACAAGATGCTCAATAATGTGTGCAACACCAAGTTCATTTTCTTCCTCACAAACAGCCCTAGTCAAGCAAGAGTCATGAAAACTATATCAGAGGGCAAAGCATAATGCAACTGATGAACACTTATAGTTAATTGTTCTTCCATTTAGATAATGAATCCTCCACATGCTATATTTAGTTAAATTATTCTTCCTAGTAGATTATAAAACCTCCACATGCTTTATTTTCTAAGTATCTGATATGATGAAGCAGTAACTACTGTGATGTGTTGCTTCTTATTTCATACTAATAAGCAACAAACTATTTGGGAATGCCATAGTAAGAAAAAAGAATCATATCTAACTCCACATGTACCTCTGCACCCCACCCCACCCCA